CATTGTCTGCAGCCCATCAGTCACTCCCTGAACGTCTGCCAACTAAAACTCAAAATTGTCCCTGCTTGTTCCATTGTGGTCCACTCACAGAGCCAACCCTTGGTCAGTCCCTGCTGTGTTCTGTCAGAGATCCCGGCCACTACGGGAAATCCTACAAAGGTGGATGTCTTATCTGCTTCTGCATATTTCCTGATTGATTTTTCTAAATCCTTGGAGACATAACACTTAGATTTAGGACCAGAGAGCAGCTTGCGGCCAAAAAAACTTTAAAGCTTTCCATTTTTTTTGCGACATGCAACTTCAAACGGAGTTTTTTTTTTTTGGCAGTGCGTTTAGCCCACCACTGGCTACAGCAGATTAGACTCTTTCCATTACGGAGCTAAATAATAGGGGCCGCACTAGAACTAGATGGGGCCATGTTTTATAGGTGCTACCCAGCAACTTTGGCAGGGAGTCCTGTGGGTCTGTGGCTCCTGTGGTGAACTCAGGAGGTGGTGCAGCGGAGGGTTTTTGCAGAGGAAGAATGGCGGTGTTGGAGGCTATTTTGGGACTGAACGAGGTCTTGGTTTAAGGCCTAGTTATCTGGGGCTACAACCTATGACAAAAGCATCACATGAAAAGGAGGACTGTAAAACCCCATTGAGAAGTCAGCGTCTGCAGATTTAACTAGTTAGAGGCATCTGTTCTCAACACTTGAGAGGCACTTTCATTAACCCTCTTGCATGAGGGCACTTTTAAAAAACCTGATACTGGAGCAGAAAGATCAGAAAAGCAGGGAGGCGAAGTGTGGCCCAGTAACTGCCGAGTGTCCCCTCTGAGAATTCACTGACTTCTCCTCAGCAACATCCGACTTCATTAAAAGAGCCTCACTGAATCTGTGACTATCTGTGAAACCTGGATACTAAATGGGAAGCAGTACTCCTGCGATTCCTCTGAAGTCTGATGCGGTATTGATGTGGAATTGGATGCTGCCGGGGAAAAGGGGAACCAGACTTGTGTTGCAGCCAGCTGTGCCCCCCCACCCCCCCACCCCTAGAAAAGAAAACTGTAACCCGCTACATCTGGCCTGGCCCTGGCTGTGTTCGTACTACACTGACGTTAATGAGCCCCACAACAGTAATGGCTACCAGGACACAGTGGAGGGGAACATATTGTGGCAGGTTATGCATTAATAATCTGGAGTTTCTGTCATCTTTGTTTGTAGACTTTGGAAGCTCTCTGAATACTCAATGTGCAGCCTCCACTTTCTGGTGGTGTTAGTGCCTTTTTCTTCTCCACAACTCTGTACCTGCATGTTTCTATCATCGACTCTTTCTGTGTAATTTTATCATAGTGGAAATGTTGCTCATGCACTAAGCCTGTTTTGCTGTCCCGAGAGCTCCAAGCATATAATAAAGATGGAAGGAAGTTCTTTATGTCAGCCCTCGGTGAGGAAGCAGCCGTCTGTAATTATCGCTGCTTTTCATCCCTCGTAGCAACAAATAAATGCTCTTGTGTGACCCGGCAACGCGTCACAGAGAAACCATTTGTTTGTAAGCTTGTTTGTTTGTGTTCTTGAGATCACATGACCAAAGACCCGTACTTCTCTCTCTCTCTCTCTCTCTCTCTCTCTCTCTCTCTCTCTCTCTCGTTTTTCGGAGCATCAAGTGCAATTGAAGTTGCAATGTGGAAGTCATTAGCCACAAATCCCAACCAATATAATAACAGGGCGATTAGCTCTTTCCCAGTGATCCTCGGCTGTTTTCCTTTTTTCTTCTTCTTCTGTCGTCGCCGGGGTGGTGCAGTAATCTGTGAGCGCAGGGCTTGGTCAAGGGCGAGTCCTCTTCTTCCATTTCCCGGACTTTTTCTATTTGTAGATCTGCATGTATTTTATAGGAGCCCACCCCCCCCCCCCCCCTCCCCCCCTTCTCTCCGTCTTTCATGCGGTGGTGGTTCTGTTTCCCATCACGGCCTCTGATGAAACCACAAGAAAGCCAAGGCCCATGTGACGAGAGCGCAACAGTTGCTTGGTGACAAGGAAAGGGGTGTGACGTGGGGAGTGGGCCTGGAGTGGTGACGGTCCAATCAGCAGATGGATGAAAACAAGGACAAGGATGAAATGCTCACGTCCACACCGCTCCAAAGTAAAATTGTCCTTTTCCCTTTAGCTTGATAGATGTGTGGTCGTCCGCAGGACTCTTAAAAGGACCATTCATCTTTAACGACGGCCTCACTTATCTCTGAGTCCTTTGCAGATCTGCTGCTTCCCATCCCCACCGCAAGCAAATGGTGCCTTGAAACCACCTGGAACACCCGCCTCCCCATCTCCCTCCCGGTGGCAAAAAGCGCTGCCATATTTACCATCTCGTCCTGGAAAGCTAACTTGGCCACAGAAGGGCGGGACGGTTGCCAGCAGCAGCTCGTTCCAAGCGGACCATGTGCAGACGAGCTCTGCTTCATCCTGAAACTCCAGAGGAAAGTTTCCTGAAGGAGGAGGGGAGACATTTACAAAGTCATTTGGCTCTTTTTTTTCTTCTTTTTTTTGATACAGTGTGTTGAGCAGCCAAGCTCAGTCATTTTAATACCTGCTTTTTTTTCGAGGAGAAGATATTTGAAGGACGTGAATTCATTCGGGATGCAGCCGGCTGCCCCGTCCCTGCCTGATGGTATCCTCTGTGACTGGGGCAGTAAGAGTCGTGATTGCTTTTGGGGAGCAGTGACTCATGATTGTGCGTGTACCGCTGCCAAACGCTCAATAGCTGTGTTTCCTTCGCTTTCTTTCTCATGCCGCGGCTGCCGGCATCCAGAAAAATAGTAAATGCAATAAAAATGCATCATATTTCTTCTGTAAATATCATATTAAACAATGCATATCCATATGCCTTCATTCTTGACCTATACCAGGGTAGTGTACATTAATGTTGATATCAGAACAGCCGCTTATCTCCAAAGTCTTCTTCAGGTTGAACGCTGGTCCATGCTGATCACCTGCATCCTTTGCACAAGCAACAATTGAGACCTTCTCAAAGTGCCTTATTCAACACACCTCGCCTGCCCTCTGTGTGTGTAAGCCCAAAAACGAAAGTGTCCTCCGCCACTCTCATTGCTTTCCTCGTGTAAGGGTAGCAAAAGCACTGTTGCAGCACCATTAGGCTGTTTTTCTAATTTCATGGAGTTTGGCCTCAGACACCCTGAACTGGATTTACAATCCGGTGGTTGATATCCTTGCATGCCGAGGTGGTATTAATTCACTAAGGGAGCAATTTAGAGACAACAGAGTGGCATCGTGATAGCAGGAACCCGACACCCTGCAGCTCCTTGCTGCTGTTGAACTCCGGTCAGCCAGGCGATGGCTGACAAGCTTGACTGAACAACAAAGCCGAAACAACTTTCATTAAAAGCAACTTCGGCTGACACACTGAGAACAGCTGGGGCCTTTGATTTACTCTAAAATGAAGTGCAGTACTTTTACGGGGGTTGCAGGAGACTGGAATGCATGTTTGCGTGCAAGCTAACTGCTGTAAATATTGCAAAGCTATACTAAACACACGGAACTTTCACAACATTTTTTTCTTGTCAAGGCCCCCTGCTTATTCTACATTATACACTTTCTACATTATACACTTTCTCCAACAAATAAAAGAATAAAGTCTTTTATTGAAGTCGTTATTGACGCTACCTAACTCCTCCAGACCTGTGAAATGGCATCTAGAGGTTGCCATCTAACGGTGGATGGCAACAGAGTCCGAATGTTGCATTAGAAGGATCCCCAAAGAAATGTTTGTCTGTATACGAGTTGAAAGGGAAAGACAGAAGAAGGCAGAAGCAGCAGAGGAGAAAAGAAAGCGGTAAGAGAGGAGAACAGACGATGGGATGCAAGAGAAAGAAAGAGGAAGTTGGGAAACGTTGGCGTCAATAGAGAATGAGAAAGAGCCTTGGAGCACAGCTGGCTCACCAAGGGGTGTAATGACTGTCATATTGCAACGCATTAGCTCATACTCTTAGCCCAGACAGCTCGACTTGATGAAAGGAGCCGGTCATTGACGAACCGCATACATAGCAACAAGACCCCATGGAGACGAGCCAAACAAGCGAGTATTGTTTTATCTTAGTGATGTGTGATTGACAGGCAAATAGTTTCATGTGCTCTCGCTTGACATTTTGAAAAGCAGATAAGTCAAGGCTATATAAAGTGTTAATGTATACTGAAGATCAGAACTTCACACTGTTGCCCTTGCATCTGCTCTGTGTGCGACTTCATGAATAAATGCTGCATATATAGAAGCTGTTTACTACACCGAAGTTGCAATTGTGAGCACGTGCAGTATGAGTAATCATAACAGTCACATAATAAATTCATATTTTCCATCCTAATGCAATCAAAAGAGGAATTCAGTTGTTGCTGTTAAAACTCACTTGATGGGAATCCCCCCTCCCTCCTCCCTCCCACCCCCTCAAGGCTGAGAGTGATGAGCGTTGATGGCTCATAATGCTCCCATCAGCCATTGTTTATTTGACTTCCCTCTTTCAGGGAAGAAAAAAACCTTCCACCAGCCATTGTTTTGCCTCGGGGAAACAAAATCTCTCTCTCTGACTTGGCCACATGGTTGTCATACACTTCCTGGAAATTGGAGCCATGTTTGATTTTGTTTTATATCTGTGGGCCATTTGTTTTTTTTCTTCTCCGTGCTCCCTCGTTGACAATAATTAAAACAATACAGTGATTGATCTCGCTTTACCTCGTTTCGCCGGATCTGTAATGAATTGAACCTGGGCAAAGAATACAATTATTCCAAACGAAACGTCTATGATCATTCCAAAACACATTAAAACATTTGAATAAGCACAAGGGTATTTCACTGAATCCAGATTGTCAACAAAGCAGATCACAGATGGGGCTGCCTTTTATACGAGCATGTTTGAAAGCCCTCGCCAAGCTTTTGATTTCCATCGCAATAGACTTCTAATCCCTTATTGCAGGGATTTCTCTCACCTTCTCCATCTCATTGCTCTCTTTTCAGAGTGTTACACCGCCAACGGAGAGGACTACAGGGGCTTCCAGAACCAGACCAGCCTGCATGGTGGTAAACCCTGCCTCTTCTGGAATGAGACCTTCCAGCACCCTTACAACACCCTCAAATACCCCAATGGAGAGGGTGGTTTGGGCAGCCACAACTACTGCAGGTGAGTCCCTTCTACTGAAATGTGTTTACTTATTGAAAAATGATGGTGCAATAAGTTATTGGGATGCAGGGTTGAGGGACAAAGACAACATTGTCTTGAGGTGATGGGTGAAATTAAGGGCAGATCCCTGTAAAGCGGTGTTTCCCAATCGTGTCACACTTTATTGCAAAGTTGGGCCAACTTGTTGGAGCCTTTAGAGGTACAACTACCCAGTATTTCAGTCTGTCTGTAAAAATGATGGCAAATCAGCATCAGATTTGTTGTCATTGGAGGTCCCACTCATCTTAATGATTCACATGTAGCATCATCTGTTGCATTTATTATTAATGGATTACACCAGGGGTGGCCAAAAAGTTAAAACAGACAGAAATAGCCAAATATTGTTTTCTGTTCATGGTCTAAGGGCCCACTTAAAAGATTACGATGCAAATGTAGATATAAGATGTAAAGATGTAAATTTGAAATTAAGATGAAACAAACAAAACAGGCAGAAATAGTAAAATATTTAACTTGACATCTAGTGTTCAAACTAGAATGTGCAATGTACATACAGTGTAATTTATTAGATATATCAAGCCATATTGTAGTTTATTTGTATAATACGGGCATAGTTTGGCCACCCCAGGATTAGACTGTGTTGGTATGATTGCTGAAAGCAAATGATACCGTCCTACTAGGCTACAGATGAAGCTTAGGGTAAAGTTCAGAAAGATATTATTCTGTAAGCTTTTCCCTCGTTTCATCACCCTTCATTTAAAGTATGTGTTATCTCTCTGCCCTGGAAGAATAACTGTTCCCTCTCGGTTTTTTTTATTGTTGTTATTATATAAAGCAATCTTCGTTTGTGCTGGATATCCATCAAGCAGCAGTGGCTCACAGTGTAAGGCTGACAATCTTATTCGCATTTATGACAATTCTGATTGATGTTATTGATGTCAAAATGCTGCGAGTAGCACCTTTAAAACAGAGCTTTGAACTTCCTAGACAAAGCACTCGGCTCTCTGAATAATTTAGAACCAGGTCGCAGTCGTTTCTTTGCAAAGGGTTTGAGCACAGGGGACCTGCTCAGACGTTCGCCACTGAATATTTTACCGGTGGTTCCCAAACAGAACGTTTAGCCCTGTCATCACAAGGACATCAAAACACATGCTCGAAGAGTTTGTGTCAACTAATCTCCATGCCTCATCCCTGGAATGTGAAGCGACACGGTGGATTTGGGTGTCTAGAATACCCTTTCTATCCGTCCGTCACACTCCAAGTACGACTGTCGGCGATGTGTGCACGACTGTATTTGCAGGGAACCACTCTCTTTCATGAGTCAGTTCAAATTCACCGAGACATCCAGAACAGTGGCTTGGCCCGGATCGCCGTAAGAAACAGAACACCCCCCTACTCCCTTCCTCTCCTCGGCCCAAAGCCTCTGAAACATTTCTCTAAGTCATGGTTGTAAACTCATAACGCAGCAATGCTTTGAAGTGGAACTGGACGGATTTGTTTTTACTTGAACTGGATGGGAATTCTGAAGATTTATGAGTAGGATACATGCAGAGCATCACGGAAGGCTTTCCCTGCACATTAAGAGTGTATCATGTCCAACAGGCGATCCAAAATGGACAACTTCATTGTTTGGATTTGGCTGTTTTCTTGGCCACCGATGCAGTTAGCAGCTTTTCCAACTCAATGACAGCTCATAGCTTTGTTTCTTCCTGACAGAGGGATTTCTGTCACTGTGGCTGCAACCACTCTCAGTCCCCTCTCAGACATCCTCCTTGTAAAGAGTCACCCATCGGCGGGGCTATGGGGACCAAAGTGGCCACTTCATTGTGAAAAGATGAGGGATGGCATTTATGGTATGTCTACTCCAGGGGTCAAGTATCTGTGCGCGCGTACACCCACGTGTGCATCGTTGGTGCGTGCACTCAACATGTACGTCCCTGCAGAGGAGAGGGTTCATCCCACCGCAAAGCAGGATGTGTAATGTGTGATTTGTTTTGTCACAGGAAGTGAGACGTCTCGGGACGTTGTTGCTCAATTTGGATTGCAAATCTCTATATTTGCATGAAGTGCAATTTGCTGTTCAAACTCTCTTCTGTAACCTTGAAACTCTTTCTCATCCTCCTGCCCGCGCTCTGTCCGTCTTTCATGTTAGGCTTACATTTTTGTGGACATTCCTGGCTAGAACACAATAGCCAGTGCAGTTTTGGCATGTCTGACCCTGAGGCAAATTGGGGTTTTATGAGATGAGAGCTGAGGCCAAAGCACAGGTGGATAATGTGAAGCTGCATGTCTTAGCTTTAACACGGCTCTAAGCACGTATTAGACGTTGAGAAGCGGAGGACTAAACTCACTTCTTGTCCCATCGCTGCCGTATTCCCGGTGGTGATTTAGTCGAGAGGGCACCATAGTGGTGCTGGAGAAAGAGCCTGAACAGCCCCCACATTTCATCTTTATAGGCTGCTATAAAAAAAAGCCCAGTGAAAGTAGGGAGGAACTGGGCAGAGGGGAAATGTCACATTGTTCCCCTGCAAAAAAAAGGAGCACAAAGCTTCAGGAAAAGGACAACAGCTCTCGTGTCTAAGCTGAGACTTAGGGAGACTCATTTCGACAATATCACACTACTTATTATCAGCGTGGTTCGATTTTAGAATTCAGTGCACATTATAGAGTGGAAAGTAAATGATCCGTTCTTAAGTCTGGTATTGAGATTGGACGTTGCGTTGCAGTCGTTCTGCAGTCGTTCTGCAATTCTACACTTAAACAAGAAGCTTTTTTCACTTCTAAGTACCTTTTTGACCTTTTTCTAAATACTTCATGACATTCATAAGAAGAACATCACACAAGTTGAAGTACTGGTATATATTCTGTTTATTGTTCCAACCAACCTCCTGCTCCTACAGGCTGATATCAGACTCCCCCCGGTGCATTAGTACGAGGGTGTGAAGTGCATGACGGTTCAGTGGGCGGTTGAATAGCTTTGCCAGCCATTTCTCAGCTATTTATATGCAGGTGTGTGTGTGTGTACTGTACAATTTATGAGCGTCCACTATGGTTTCTAATGCTTTTCCATTACATAGATGAGATAATGGAAATGCCAGAGTGAATAGTGTTCCCCAAGTTGATTGTAATTGAATCTCCATGATGTCAGGTGCAACGCTGAGGTCAGGCCAAGTTGTCCACCGTTTGTATGACTTTATTCCGGTCCCAGTGCACAGCTTTGTTAAATTGAGGAAGTTAATAGAAGTGTCCCGCGAGAAGATGTACTGTGTGGAGCTAAAGCATCAGCCATCAACATTATAGTAATCTCAGAATTGGAGTAGGGACCAATTTCATGCATTAAAATGTACCCTTTATATGTTTGTACGTTTGTCTTTGAAGGGTCAGTTCACCCAAATTACAAACAAACAGGTTTTCAAACTTGTTTTTTTAGTTCGGTTTTGGCAATTAGTCTCCCGAATAATGTAAAAATCGTACAGATGTACGCTTCAACCGCCAGTTTTAATTATTTCAACTTTGTTTCTGATGAATCCTGTTTTGTTCGTCAGTTTGTTGTGACGTATAGCTCAAAATACTACAACACCCATGAGCCTCAGCCGCTGTTGCTGTAGAGTTGAAGCGTATCAGAGGCGTGAATCAGAGCTGCAGCACATTTCAAATAAATCCAAATTGACCCAGAATCCAAAAGTCAATTTGTTTAAGCTTCAGATTTATGAATATGTTTTTTTAACAGTACAATCTTTAGTTTTTCGTCCGCTGTTAGCAGTGCACGTCCCTGAATTTTAAGCTTTGTGATTGTTTCTCGCAGGAAATTCACCTTCGTAGTCGTAGTTTATTTCTACCTCAATGTTATCAGAGAACCAGAGTTTTGTACTGATGATCTAACCTGTAGAGTCTCATGCCGATCAAAGTGGTAGAAGCGCTCCAACTGTGAGTCACGTAACTTTGTCTTTGGGAAAAATGAACGTGACTTTTACTTCCGGAATCAGGTGTGCCCAAAATAGCTCCTCCCATTTAACTTTTGGTGCTCAGAAAAGTCAATGTCATCTTCTCTTCTCATCCAATAAACAGTACAGTATACATGTTACTGTGGATCATCTTCAGGCCTGAATGCAGACAGTTTTCATTGGACCTACTTTCTGCTGAAGAAATAGTTTCTAAGAAAACTGTCGACTAAGTGGGATAATTCCTCAATCTTGTGAGCACTAAGAATGAAATTCTATTCATCTCCATTGAACTGCGGTACATACCATACATCCTGGGCAAAACAAAACAAAATATTATCTACATGGCTATTCCATTAGAGGTAGGTGAGAACATGTTTCCTATGCAACTTAGGGGTATTGATCCTCTAAAGCCATTAGTCAAGAAACTTAGTGACGCGCCTACCAGCCACACATGACACATCGCGTAACATCACAACCTCGTATTTAGCAGAAGTGGACCGTGAGAGAACAACACTATACATATTGTCCCACGACCAACAAGCCCTCTTCTTCAATACATGCATTCATGCAGCACAGCAGCAGGCAGCAGTTTGCATGCTAAATCATCCAAGTCAATTAAAGAGTCTTCTCTCAGGCAGTAAGTTGCCAGACTCTGATCTGCTGTTGACCTCAAATCCCAATCCAGACGAGCCTTTCACCACCACTTTCCAATCAACATTTCTCCTCTGTCCAATTGTGCAAAATCAGCTTTCATCATGCTTTACTTTTACTAGTTGTAACGTCAGTATTTTTCTACACATGTTTTTGTATCTAAGTGACTAATGGGGACAACGATTTCAGAACTGGTCCAGTATTGAGGAAGAACGCTGCAGCTGCTAAACAGGCTGCGATGTAATCGCTCGGGGCAACTCCGCACGGTCAATGCCCGTCCACTAAAAGCCGCCGACAGGCTCGGATTGTTCTGACAAGTGTCTGACGACATTATGGAAAGGACCCTACAGAGAGATGTTATAACTTTCGCTTCATTCGTGTCTGAGAAGTCTCGTTCTTTAATCTCGT